CACAAGTGCTAATATTGGGAATCAAAGAAAGTGTCCAATATCTAGCACATTTTTTTATATACAATTAGTTGCTAAGGTATTTTTAAATTAATATTTTCATACCAAAAATAATAATTTATCAATTCGATGTGAAAATTCAAATATTACGTTACTCGGCTATATATCGACACTTGTAAGTTGTATCTAGCCTACAATTTAATGTTTGTTAATTAACAATCCAATTCTTCGAGGTTAATAACTTGAGCATTTTTGTATTATTTTCTTTTGTCAAAGTTTAAGCAGAAGAGATGAATTGAGAGCTCAGTAATGGAGGATTAAATGTTCTATAGAGAGAGTCAGTGGAGAGAATTTTGCTTTCTCATTTTCATTTAATCTGACCGTACACAATACAATGTTTATATAGAAGATAACTGCTACTCTCTAACTAACAATTACACAGTATAATTAACTATAATCTCAGCCCACTAACCGCTTAACTGACCAGTCTAATTGTCAGCTAACTACTTCACACAAGTTGCACGTGTTATGTGACACTTCCACTCTCAATACTCCCCCTCAAGCTGGAGGGTACGAATACATTTAGCATCTCCAGCTTGGAAATGAGATATTCATGTTGTTGCCTTGGTAATGCCTTGGTCAAAACATCTGCCAGTTGATCCCCTGAGCATACATGTACAATCTTAATTGTCCTTAATTGTATTTTTTTCTCTGACGAAGTGACAATCGATATTGATATGCTTAGTTCTCTCATGAAACACAAGGTTGGTTGCTATCTGCAAAGTTGTCTTGCTATCACTATGTATGTTTACTGGTAGTTCCACTTCTGCTCCCAGCTCCTTGTACAAATTTATTAGCCAAACCAATTCTGATACAACTGATGTCATACTCCTGTATTCTGCTTCTGTACCTGTCACTGACCTTCTTGTATTTGGGCATGAAACCCAATCAGCATCACAAAAGGCAGTCAGCTTATTTTCTCTTTTGCTACTCATAACACTCCTATTCCTGGATCCCCCTTCACATATCTTACTATCCTTAGTGTTGCTTCCCAGTGTGACTGCTTTGGCTCTTGTAGGAACTAGCTAAGTGTTTGAACTGAGAATAAAATGTCCAACCTGATTAGAGTCAAGTGTAATAGCTTTCCTATGAGTCTTTGAGATTTTTCTCTATCTACCAAAGGCTCATTAGCTTGTAACCCTATTAATGCATCCAACTGTCTAGTAGTGAATTTCTGATTACTATCAAGGGGAGTCCAGCTTGGTTTTCCAGCACTCAAGCCCAAGTATGATATGAGTTCCAGGGCATATTTTCTTTGGTTCATCAATATCCCCTTGTGTGATCTAGAGAATTCAATCCCCAGAAAGTACCTCAATTCCCCTAGGTCTTTAATTTTGAATGACTGATGAAACTGCTTGTTAGTATCTTCAATCATTTGCAAGTTGTTGCCTGTAACTAAAATATCATACATACACCAGAATGACCACAATGTTACTTCCCTGCTTCTTCGTAAACAATGAGTAGTCCAAACAGCTTTAAGTGAACCCTTGTTAGATCAATGCTTCAGTTAGCTTCACATTCCATTGTCTACTCGCTTGCTTTAGGCCATATAGGGATTTAACCAGCCTTCAAACCATCCCTTTAGACTCCCCCTGGCTGGTAAAGCCCTCAAGTAGGTCCATGTATACTTCATCATGCAGGTCGCCTGGAGAAAGGCGTTATAGACATCATTTGATGGATGTGCCAACCTTCAGCTGCATCAATAGAGAATACAGCTCTAACAATTACTATCTTCACCACCGGAGAGAAGGTTTCATGAAAGTCAAGCCCTTCCCTTTGATTGTAACCCTTGGCCACGAGCCTAGATTTGTACCTTTCTACAGTGCCATCTGCCTTATACTTCACTTTGTACACCCATTTGCAGCCTATTGGCTTCTTCCCTATTGGCAATTGTACCAACTCCCAGGTCTTATTATCTTCAAGTGCTTGAATTTCAGCTCTCACAGCTTCAATCCGTAAGTTGTCTTGTGAGGCTTCATTAAAAGATCTTGGTTCAGTTACTGCAGAGAAAGCTTGCAAGCAGGCTTGATAAGTTGGCTTCAAGTTGGAGTAGCATACTAAATTGCTAATAGAATAAGGTTGCTGCTGTTGTGAGGGAATGACATAATCTGTCATCTATATTGGCACTCTCTTATCTCTGGTAGACCTTCTGAGCTCTTGTGGAGGTGGTAGATTCATCTGTGATGAAACAGTTGTGTCAGTACTGTGTGGAGCAACTGCAAGAGTGTTATGTGATTGAGTTGGTGATGCAGGAAGATGATTCTCATGTGGCATGTCTGCAGGAAAGGAATTCATATTTGTTTGTTGTATTTCCTCCTGTGCTGAGTCAATATCTGCAACTGGATCCACTGGTGCATCTAGATTCTGCTTAGGTTGCTCCTGATTTTCAACCTCTAAAAATATGTGGTTTATGTGTGGTTGCTCCATGCTCTGATACCATGTCAAAGTTTAAGCAGAAGAGATGAATTGAGAGCTCAGTAATGGAGGATCGAATGTTCTAGAGAGAGAGTCGGTGGAGAGAATTTTGCTTTCTCATTTTCATCTAATCTGACTATACACAATACAATGTTTATATAGAAGATAACTGCTAATCTCTAACTAACAATTACATAGTATAATTAACTATAATCTCAGCCCACTAACCGCCTAACTGACTAGTCTAATTGACGGCTAATTGCCAGCTAACTACTTCACACAAGTTGCAGGTGTTATGTGACACTTCCACTCTCAATATCTTTAGATTCTTAGGTCTAGGGTCGAATCATTAGAATTCTTAAGAGGAAAAAAAAGAGAAAAGTAAAAGAGTATTCCTAAGAATCTAATTTCCGTGGGCCATCCAAATAGCACTGGACCTACCTCATTTCCTTGGCCACGTCACATTTTGCAGTTAATGCCTTCGGCTATTGACACGTGGCATGTAGGTAGAAGACTGGTAAAATATTACTCGAAAAATTTATACTTATTATTTTTTTTTAAAAAAGGATCGTAAAACTTATGTATCAGAAATGCATCACATCTATCTTCAAACAAAAATTTCTCACGTAAATATACATAGCTAATATATCTTTTGTTACTTTATCATATCACTAGTGTCAGTACCCGCGCGATGTACGGATAATTTGACAGAATATTAATCTTATAAAATTATGAACTAATATATTTTATTATTTTAATAAATATTAGTTTTTATTTTTTATTTAATGTTGTAAGCAGAATATAACAAATCTATACAAAATCAAAGAATACACATCATATAGTAATCAAATAAATTATTGTCCCTTATTTATTTTAATTAAATTAGCAAGTACTTAGTATTATCTGTTTACTAATGTGATTTTTATAATCTTGTCAATTGACTTAATATTTTGATACTATTCTCTTTTAATATAACATGGATATGTATTTTCTTACTCTATATTTTATTTTCTTAAAACTTATGTTATACTGTTCAAAATTCTCTAATTGTCCAAATTTATCAATAATATTTTTGAGAGTTATTTATTTATCTTTATTTTTTAATTAATTTCAAAATATAACTATCTATAAAATTATCCTTATCCCCCTCTTTTCGTCATTTTTCCTACTATAATATTTCATTAATTTTCTCAATTTGTAAGCTACTGATAATTTAAATAATGTAATATTTTTTTTAGTAAGTTATAATTTAAATTCATCAAAATTATAAAGAGATAAGCCTTTTATTATTTGTATAAAAAAACCTACCATTATTTTTAATAATTATTAATTTATGTTATATATATATATATATATCTTATGTGTATATATAGATTTGAATGGAAATTTTTTTAATTTATGTTTTTTATTATTAAATATTTTATTTTATTATTTTATAGATATTTAAATTCAAAAATAATAACCAATAACTAAATAACTAATTATTAACTTTTTATGCCATGTGTTTTTTTCTAGGATGCCACTTGGCTTAAGGAGGGAGCTTATAATACTTACGTCTTTATCTTTAAAATTAGATAAAATAGGGGTATTATTTTTATCTTTAAACTCAATTTTTTATTAAAAAATTTATTAGTTAAGATAGGGCAGTAGGCCGTATCTTTAGAAAAATCTTATTTACTATCTTCCTGTTTAAATTAAAAAAAGAAATCTTACCTTTCAATTTAAATTAAATGTTATTATACATATTGTCCTAAATTGCCAAATAAATTTATAATAGCTTGTCACTTGGCTTAACCACAATGCAAACGTTATTTCTTTAATAGATATCAGTAGGCTCGTATCTTCAGAAAATTTTTATTTACTTTCTTCCCATTTAAATTAAAAAAAAATCTTACCTTTCAGTTTAAATTAAATGTTATTATACATATTGTCCTAAATTGTCAAATGGCTTTATAATAGCTTGCCACTTGGCTTAACCACAATGCAAACGTTATTCCTTTAAGATATATAGATTAGAATTATTTAATTTTAATTCAAAATTTCTTATCTTTCAATTTAATATATTTATTACATTTATTTTACAGTGTACAACTTGATTTCAACTACTTAAGAAANCTTGATTTCAACTACTTAAGAAAAGACGTGGATTTGGATTAAAGATTACTTGCGTTAATTATTTTTCCTCCTTCTTTTCATTAATTAAAGGGAAGAAAGGTAAATTAAAATTTGAATTAATTTTTTTCCATTTTGATTTCATCAATTAATCATCTCTTTGTTCTAAGTTTGCCAAGTGGCTTCTTAATAGCTAGCCACTTGGCTTAACCACAATGCAAACTTTATTCCTTTAATATATATATATATTGATATTGATATTGATATAGATATATAGATTTCCTGCCAGGATTGATTTTCCATTGCCAGAATTCTATCTCCGTGGATGTTTCTTTTTTGACAAACCCGGAAAAGTCTAGCACACTTGTTAATGTACTGTTTCACATGGAAGAGCTAACTTGGACCTTTTTATGTGAGCAAAAAACCTTAATATCATGATGCTAATGTCTTGCGTCTACCCATCACAAGTTGAATATATCACGATCCGCAAAACAAATCCCTTAAACACTGATTTTAAGAGAACACAACTCCAATGCATATCCTAACACTGACTACTTAAGCTGTCAGAGGAATTAGGATAGTAACTCCACACGTGAGGAAGTTTTTAAATCAAGCTGCCAATATCCCCTTTAATAAGAACATTGAGCAACTAATTTTGTTAAGCAAGAACTTCCTATGTATCATTCGCACCGTCATCATCAAACTCTGGCTTGACAAAGAATTCAATATATGCAATACGGCTGGGTTGCTGATAGCCAGCAGAATCAATATGTGGGTGAGGCATTGCTGGTTTTGCAACTGAGACCAGATGCTGAACTTTGAGCATTCCCCCTCTCCCAATGGTCAACTTACTTCCTCGATTATCCCGGATGACACTGCTGGGTATGTTTGAGGTTGTAGCACGGAGAAATTTGTATTTATACCTGTCCATGTCAGGAACTGGATCAGATCATACAGTCTTGCGCAAATGTAAAGCATTTGGTTTATCATATCATTCTGTTAGGAGAAGAACCTGTGAGAGACTTGACGATCACAATGAAATGCAACCAGAAGATCAGTGTTGGCATAACACATAAAGTCTATCTGCAAAACAGATGAATCTAAAAACATAAGAGGGCAGAGAATATGAGAAGAGAATGGTACTAAAACATCAAGTCATGCCCTACCTGTAAGTCACCATGACCTTCACCTCTAAAGGTAACCGATGGTGGTGTAGGCTGTAGGATTAGATGAATGCTTGATCCTGGCCACTCAAGGTCATCTATGGCTTCCTTTAGAGCTGCAGACTATCAATTGAACCAATGACATGGTGATAATTAGCTCAACAGTAAAGGATGGTTGAGACTTCAAGCAATCACAATTCTTTTTGCCCTAACCACAGTGTGACACTGTAAAGGACGAAGAACACATTCTGTGTATGAATTTACGACACTTTACACTTACAAAAACATGAAGCTAACTTCCAACAGATGCTTAAGCTCAACTCATGCGACTTGAAGTACCAGCAAGCCAACACTCGACTGTTAACTATTAAAAGTTAATTCTGACAACCTCTTATTTCTTTGGATTAAAGGGAACGAGAGACAAAATCCACGAAATTTCTGAACTTTTCTTTTTGATTGTTGCTTTACCAGTTAGAAGCATAAGGAGGAAAAACACAAGTTTTACTTCCGAGTAACTTCTTTAACTTCCAAAGGAGGGAAGAATATAACTTTACTTCCCTCCCCAAGTCCCTTTGAACCAAACTCAGGAAATAAAAATGATCTCCTTCACTTCCTCTTCTATTTCCTTCCCATTATTATCCTCCCCTCCTTTCTGAAGTAACCCTTAGAGAGAATGTGGAGAGGAAACCAGATGAACAGAGCACTACCCTGCATTTGTTGATTGCTCCTGCAAATGACCTGAGTCACTGACAAAATTAGTCAAAATGGAAAACACCTCTTTTGAACCCAAGCACAAAATTTTGTTTTCGGGCATGGCACGTTGGTTTCAGTATCCGGAACAAAACGTTCACATTAATAGCAAAAGATTAGGTTATATTGCCAGATGCAGCCTCCTGAAAGAGGCATAGAAGGAGACAGATGACTTCTCTTTACACTGCTCTTTAACCAAACTATGGGAAGATACTAAACCTAACTTCCGAATTTAAAGTGCTATAGAGCAAGGAACTGGAAATGGAGTTAGTTTAATAGTGTATGCACTAGCACATGAGCTTCCATGATACTTATATCTATTTGGGTGTTCACGACTTGACATTGCTGGAGAAGTTAAATCCTAGACAAATGCAAAGAAACTTCTCACTCCAAATTTATTTAATGTCCTCTTTGCCTTGGCCATCTGCAGTCAATTAAACATAATGGCTTTTTGATCGGGAATTTTAAAAGCTAATAGTTTTTTATTCAACCAACAGAAAGACATCTTAGATTGATACAGCAACAACAACAACAAATTCAGTGTAATCGCACAAATAGGGGTCTGGGGAGGATAGTATGTACGCAACCTTACCCCTACCTTATGCAGGTAGAGAGGTTGTTCCCGGTAGACCCTCAGCTCCAAGCAAGCATGCAAATCACAACAGTATAGAGAAAAAATACAGTACTGTAAAAATCACGAAACAACAAAGAAGTAGAGCAACCAAAACACAGGCAATACCAAGTAGTAATAAATTTTTAAGCATATGGAAATACTAGAATACGCAACTACTACCGGAAGGAAAAGGAAGACGTGCACATCTTAGATTGATCTTTCCACAAAATAAATAACAGAGAATTTATTAACCTTTTTTACCACTTCAAAAAACCTTGCATTCAAGACCTTACAGAAAACAAAATCAGCAACAAACTCCCTACTTATGGCATGTAAATCATATAGTGAACTATTCCTCATGATCCTCCGTGTAATCAAAGTTTTTGAAATATACAAGTTGGAGTCTGGCCTAACTCCACCATCGAGATGATGGAATTTGATTAAAAAAAAAAAGAACTATTCCTCATGCAACAAAAGAGGCTTATGTTCCATATCAAAGCTTAGGATTGCTATAACCCTCACAATTCAAAAATATGGATGAGCAACCGCCTAAAATGTTTTCGGATANAATATGAGAGTGAAAATATTGCTACAACATTCAGATATATTGTGTTTAAAATAATTAAGAAATATTTTTATGATTAAAATAAAATTTTAAAATAACAAAATAAAATTTTAATATAGGTAATTTTACTAATAAAAATTAAAAATTAAATTTGCATCTTAAAGCTAAAAACGAAAGAAAATTAGCTGCATCTAATACAAAAATAATTATAAGAGAACTCAAACCTTTGGAACATCATAATCAAATAACTTAATTCAAAGTTACAATTTAAAATAAAATATGATATTATTTTGGTTATAGGTGAAACATTAATATAAAAACTAATTAAATATTATAGTAGGGAAGAGAATGTATAAAAAAAATAGAGATAGTGTGAGGATACTTATACTTTAGATTAATTTAAAAATAAATAAATTAAATAATTAAATTATGTTTTAAAATATTACTTATAAATTTAAATGACTAAAACTTTCCGAATAAGAGGGTACAAGCATAAAAATATACCAAATTTCAAGAATAAAACATTTATATTTATTAAAGACTATTAAAGGATAATAAGCAAGACATTAATTTAATTATTAAGCTAATAAAAAAATTATATGATAGTATAATAAATAACAAATAATAAATATACAATAACTATGAGAAAAGAACAAAAAAAAGAATTTGCATAAAAATGATGTGATAAATAAGACATATTTGACTTTGAAATAAAAACAAAGTGATAGTAATAATTTTGTTAAAATAATATTATCTAATGTGCTCAAACAAGACAGATCACACATGACATGTTTAGTATTCTTTAATATTGACAGCGAAACGTAATGCAAGTACTAAAATTAAGGGTTATGCTAATATATATATATATATATATATATTTATATATAAAGGTTGTCCACTATGAGATTTGAACAATAATTTCATATCCTGCTTCATAATTAATATCTAATGTTATATAATTTTTTATCTCAGAGATTTATATTTTAAGCTTATTCGCACATGATTCAAACAACCTACATCACAATTTGACATGATTTTTGTCCGCGCATCGCGCGGGTACTAATACTAGTTTTGAGTACTAAAAATTAATAATAATATCTAATTGCTTGTTCGAGCAGTTAATATGAAATTAAAGTTAAGATAGTTCTACAAAAATGACTAACTGTAATGTAACGACCCGACCGGTCGTTTTGCCTTCTAGAACCCCGCTCCCCTAAATTAAGCCTTCCGTACTTGCTTCAACTAATTCACGACTTGCGGGGGCGAGTGGTTCGGAAATTGGAAAGGTTTAGAGCAAAATATGCTCAATTGCTTCTTTAAGATTTTCTTAAAAGACCAAGTTTGACTTCGGTCAACATTTTGGGAAAACGGACTCGGAATTTTGATTTGATAATTTCTGAGGGTCCGTGTGAAAATATGGGACCTGGGCGTATGCCCAGAATCGAATTCCGAGGTCCCTAGCTCGAGTAATGAATTTTTATCCGAAATTATTTAATTGAAGCTTTAAAGAATTAAAGAAACTAAGAAATTATTGATTCCCTAGGTATCAGGCTCGGATTTTGGTTCCGAAGCTTTCTACAGGTCCGTAATGTCATTTAAGACTTGCCCGTAAAATTTGGTGTCTATCCGAGTAGTTTAAGGGTGTTTTGACACGTTAGAGGAGAATTAAGAACTTAAGGATTCAATAGTTTGATTCATTTAGTTTTAGGGGGTGATTCTAAGATTTAGCATTATTTTGGGAGTTCCGAGGGTTCGAGTAGGTCCGCCTCGTGATTTCAGACTTGTCGGTATGTTCGGGCGGGGCTCGGGAGCCTCGAGCGTCAAACAAACGAGGTTCGAGCGAAGTAGAAAACTTAGAAAGGGCTGGAGGTTGCTGCTTTTGTCATAACCGCATATGCGGTTCTTGAGCCGCAGAAGCGGGACCGCAAATGCGGTCATGTCATCGCAGATGCGAAAAGGGGGAGGCCCAGGGAAAGCCGCAAAAGCGGTCCCGCTTATGCGATCCCCAGACCGCAAATGCGGTCCAGCTATTCAAGGCCCAAGCCGCAGAAGCGGCCAGGTAACCGCAGGAGCGGTTCCGCATGTGCGGGCCTCAGACCGCAGAAGCGGTCCAACCCTCCCTCGCCCACTTCCGCAGATGCGGTCCTCTAACCGCAGAAGCGGAAATCGCTGGAAGGCAGTGAATGCATTTAATCCGAGTTCAAAGTCATTTCCCCCATACCTTACTCCTCACTTGGGCGATTTTGGTGGTTCCAAAGAGAGGGTTTCAACATATTATTGCAAGGTAAGTAATCTCCCTCCATTATAAGTTAAATTACATGAACATTAGGTAGATTAAACATTAAAATTTGGTAAAAATCAAGGGTTAGAGCTAGACCTAGGGTTTTAGCAAAACTAAGATTTAAGCACGGAATTTGTTATGAAATGGACTAGAAATAATATATTATTGATCCTTAGGTTGTAGAGAACAATTTCCTTCGAAAAATATCGGAATCCGGGTACGTGGGCCCGGGGTCGGAATTTAGGAAACTTGTGGGAAATTACTTAAATAGTTAGAATTCGGCCTTTTAAGCCTTTATTGACTAGTTCTTACCTATTTTAACTAGTTTGCGATCGTTCGGCTTCGAATTAAGAGCCTGGGCTTGTTCTTGATATTTGGGAGCGCGTTTTGGAGCGAGGTGAGTCTCCTTTCTAGCCTTGTGAGGGGGAACTGTCCCCATAGGATTAATAATTGAGTAAATGTTGCTAAATGCGGGGGCTACGCACGCGCTAGGTGACGAGAGTCCGTGCGTAGCTACTACTATGTTGATGGTCCGGGTAGCTTAGGACCCACATCATGCTTATTTTACATGACTCTCTTTATTATCTTGTTACTATGAGCACCTAGGGTATGCTAGAGATTTAAAAAGGGAATAAGAACGTACTTGTATAATTGTTGAAGTCTTGCTTGGCATTTATGACTATTGATGTGCCTTGTGTGTATACTTGATATTCCTACTTATTTGTGGATCGGGCTGATCGCCTCGGTATGAATAGATGCATCTATAGGCGCGCCGTCGACCCTCGGCAAGTGCACAGTTTATTTCTGTTGGATCGGGTCGCCTCGGCATATTTGCGCATGCTTGTATAGCTTTGCCTGAGAGTGTTAACTATTAGAATCGCTTTTTTCATAACTCGAAAGGAATTGATAATTGTGACTGAAGTAATTGATTAATCAGAATCTTAGCGAGAATGTGACTTATATGCCTAGTTGTAAACTATTGCATGTTATAGATTTTCATTGTTAAACTTAAACTTATGATATTATTTGGCCCTAGTGAGTATCAAGTCGACCTCTCGTCTCTACTCCTTCGAGGTTAGGCGGGATACTCACTGGGTACATATTGTTTATGTACTCATGCTACGCTTCTGTACTTAAATGTACAGGGTCTGAGGCAGGTGGATCCGGTTATTTCTCTAGTGCACATTTGTGAGTAGGCTTGGGACTTCTACTTTGAGCTGCTTTTCCTTCCATGCCGATCCGCAGCCGAAGAAATTTTCTTTTGCATTGTTATTTTCTGTCTATTCTGATCCAGACAGTAGGGTAGTGTGGTATTCTTTTGGGTTGTATATTCTACTAGTTGCCCGTAACTTATGATACCAGGTTCTAGCACACACTTTGGTAGACGATTATTTTGGGGTCGTGTAACTATTTCATTATGGTATTTATCTCTTCTGGCTTTAAATTCCAAGTTGAGTGTTTATTTTGCTTAATTCTAATTAAAAGCAATAAAATTATTTTGGTAATATTTCCGAAATGGCTTGCCTGACAAGGGTGTCAGGCGCCCTCATGACCTATTGAGAAAAATAGGTCGTGACATGTAATTCAGTAATTACTACGCCACCCCTCCAAATAAAAGAGACAATGAAATGGGAGAACAAATATAAATTTAGTACTTCCTTCTATACATAGAGTCAAGGTATGAGAATTTGGTAGAAAAATAGAAACAGAGATAATTCAGAGTCTATTTCTTAGCGTTGAAAGAATGTAAAATAAAAAGAAAATAAATTACTAGGCAGGCAAGCAGTAAATTACAGAAGTATTGCTGACATCTTCTTAAACAAGCATTTTCTGTAGTAGATGAAGTGGTTGTGTATGAATTTATGGGTTCTACTGCCCCTTCATTCCACTCTGTCACCATTATTCTACTCTCCTGTAATCTTATTTGCACATTTTTTGCTGTCTTCTCACATATTTCGCATGATCTGCAAAATCACAAGATTTTAAGAATGATGTTACATTGAGAGGCGGATATATGATTCCAAGAAGATGGATGCACTATTACAAAGAGTTGAGTCTAGAATTTATATTTGACGAATTCAACCTTTAGGTTCTTACCATGAAACTATTATCATTTAGAAATAATAGTTAAAATAAAAAAAATTCTTGCAATTTTAGTGAATTTTCACATATATACCTATACTCCATATAAAAAATGATGGAATCATTAAACCGTGCTACATCATTTATTGCTATTCGTTTTTTTATATAAAATTTTGCGATAATAAAAGGAGATCAAGGATTTCATGGTGTTAGATTTGGGGATTTTTAACAATTAAACCAAATAAAAAAAGAAGAAAAAAGACAAAAAGTACTTAATTAAAAACACAAGAGGGATTCTAGACATGCCAACAAGATGATATTTGAAGCTCTAACTTTATTTGTAAAGGTGCACCTGCAACACAAGAATCTTTGAACTTGGGAGACCACATGTTTCTGTAAGGGATTTTTATGAAATATAACATTATTATACCTAGTATCTTGAGAGAAACATGAGTTCACGTGCCCCATGCTCCAACACATAAATACGCCCTTGGTTACGTTCCTTAATCAATATGCGCATTAGATATATAAAACACGAGAGACTTTTATTGGTATTAAGTGCAACTACAATTACAAACTCAATTCTAAGACTATATAAATCCTTGTTGTCCATATCGTTCCATTTAAAATCCTATTTGCATTAAGTACCTTATGAAAATTAGTTGTCTTTTTTGTCTGTTTCACTTTATCACTTTTTAAGTACCTGAATTTTTAATGTTAAGGAGCATAGTTTTTTCTTTTACTATTTTATTTATTTATGATATTGTTGCATGGACTCTCTAAAAATATTGCCAAATTTGTCACGGCCCGAAATCTCATAAAGATCGTAATGGTACCTAACTCGACCCAATAGGCGAACTAACACACATAACACTCATGACAACATATCATTAAAAGGCATTACATAATATAAATAATAGCATGAATAAGTGTCAAGACAATAGACAATTGCAGAAAATACTACATCAATCTTAAGCAGTACAAGTCATGAGCTACTAAATAGAGTATAACTGAGTCTTAAATATAAATGTACTAGCTGAATCAAGAAAACAGTAAGAAAAATAAAAAATAAAACCGCAATGCTCGCGTTCTACGAGGAACTTTTTTGACCATTTACCTTCATCAAAGCCGGAAGCAAAGGACGAAAACTCCAAAACAAGTAATAAAGGATGGTTGTGTTGTGGTTTTGAGTTTCATGGCTTATGTTCTAATAGTAACCACAGGAAGAAAATGGGAAGCATGGTCCCTAGTCTCGTTTTTGCCGAGGTTGATTCTCTATGGTATGGACCGTGAGCGTTACTGTGTTAAACCAAAAATCAGGAAAAATTGTTAGAAAAATAAAAGAAACTGGAAAAACAGAAGAGTTTAAGAAATATTCCGAGTCCACAATTTTCTTGTGTGTCCTTAAGGAATTTTAACCCCCTCACACGTTGCCAAGGTAATGGATTAAATCCTCCCAGGATAAAACGGAATAAACCTTCCTGCAACAGTGGCAATACAAACTGCAGGATACCAACGAACTCAAAGAACGGAGCAAAATCACACTTACGAATTTGAGAGAGAGAGACTTTGCGAATTAGGATGCAGTATATTCAGAAAGAAAGAAGTTCTGGAGTGTTTTTCGTGTGTAGAAAATGGAGCCTTGCCTCAGAATTTATAGGCAATTATCAGAAGAGGTGTCTGGAAAAGGTGCCTTTTCAGAAGAATACGCTGCCTGCCGCGGTTCTACCGCGGTCGCGGCAGAACCGCGGTCAGAGAGGCTTTCTGAACCTGCCTGCCGCGGTTCTACCGCGGTTGCGGCAGAACCGCGGCCAGAGAGGCCCTCTGAACCTTCAGCAGGGTTCTGGCGTATTTTCAGCAGTGATTTGGCATTTAATTAATTATTAAATAAATTTTGTCCAAAAATAATCTTATCGATTGATCATTTGACAAATCCAAATCCAAATCCAAATCCAAAGCCGAAGCCGAGCCGAGCGACGACGACGGCGCGAGGGTTAATTCTCTTCAACTCCTTTTAAGAGCTTTAAGAAGTGATTCTATATATAAGCACATAAATGTGGTTGTCCCTCACCAATGAGAGACAAAGTGCAAGACAAAAGTTCACTTCTTCAAATTTTTGATTTCCCTCCATTTTATTTTCCTCCATTTCCAATTCACACTTCTTCTACTTTAAAGCCCAATGGCTTAAAGTCCAACAATCCCCCACATGAATGTGAATGGCTATATCAAGAAAGATCATAGATGAAAGCTATGTGATTTTGCAAGTAAGGATTAATTGCATCTGGATAAGTAGGTTTCCCTTTGAACTTTCCGTAGTGAACATATGTCGGACATACTCGGTAATCGGTAGATTTGATATCTTTGAACCGTCGAACTTTAGTGTATACCTAGACAACCATATGTCACACAATCAACCCTTAACCGTCTTTTAGTCCTCATTGTTGTGTTCGTTTCAGCCATGAACACCGCCTGGTCTCATAAGTGCGTAGAGAATTGGCCTTACAGAATTCTCATTGAAGCGGCTTCCACTTCACACTTACATAGGTGATTCCTAAACGTGTAATCCTTTAGATTGATACTATTTGATAAATACCTCATCAAACTTAGGTAATCATTAAAGAACGTGTAAAGTTCTATCCTTGTTACTGAACATTGTCTTCATCACGAGAATGGACCAAAGATTTTATTTTGACAATGTTGAACCGGTCAATCACAACTTTGTTTGAGCTCCTTGAACCTAGATCTCGGAACATCCAAAATTCTAGGTAGAGTTACCGCCATGTTGACTTATCCTCGCCCATAGTCCCACTCCCTTAGATGATTTCTCAACTCCCTCTCTAGTTAAGCCTTTTGTAAGCGGATCCGCCATATTATCCTTTGATCTTACATAATCAATAGTGATAATTCTACTAGAAAGTAGTTGTCTAACGGTGTTATGTCTTCGTCGTATATGACGAGACTTTTCGTTATACATAACCCTGCCCGTCCTATTGCAGCCTCACTATCGCAATGTATGCAAATAAGAGCCAAAGGTTTTGGCCAGAACGGAATGTCTTCTAAAAAATTCCGAAGCCATTCAGCTTCTTCACCGGCTTTATCCAAAGCTATAAACTCTGATTCTATTGTAGAGCGAGCAATGCACGTTTGTTTGGAAGACTTCCAAGATACTGCTCCTCCACCAACAGTAAAAACATATCCACTTGTGGACTTTGTTTCTGATGAGCCGGTTATCCAATTAGCATCACTATATCCTTCGATAACCGCAGGATATTTATTGTAGTGCAAAGCGTAGTCTTGGGTATATTCCAAATATCCCAGAACTCGTTTCATTGCTACCCAGTGATGTTTGTTGGGATTACTTGTGAATCGACTAAGTTTACTTGTCGCACAAGCTATATCAGGTCGTGTACAATTCATGATGTACATTAAGCTTCCCAACACACGAGCATACTCCAATTGAGACGTACTTTCACCTTTATTCTTTATGAGATGATGATTTAAGTCAATTGGAGTTCTTGCACTTCTAAATTCCAAGTGTTTGAATTTTTCAAGTACCATTTTCACGTAATGTGATTGAGACAAAGCTAGACCTTGAGGAGTCCTCTGGATTTTAATTCCTAGAATTACATCGGCAACTCCTAAGTCTTTCATATCAAACTTACTAGCAAGCATGCGCTTAGTAGCTTGAATATCGGCAATGTCTTTGCTCATTATTAGCATATCATCAACATATAAGCAAACAATGACTATATGATTTGGAACGTTCTTAATGTAAACACATTTATCACATTCATTAATCTTAAAGCCATTTGACAACATTGTTTGGTCAAATTTCGCATGGCATTGTTTGGGTGCTTGTTTTAGTCCATAAAGAGACTTAACAAGTCTACACACCTTCTTTTCTTTTCCCGGAATCACAAACCCTTCATGTTGGTCCATGTAGATTTCTTCCTCTAAATCACCATTTAAGAAGGCTGTTTTTACATCCATTTGATGGATTTGAAGACCATACAAGGCGGCTAACGCTATTAGCATCCGAATGGATGTAATTCTTGTTACCGGCGAGTATGTGTCAAAATAGTCAAGACCTTCTCGTTGTCTAAACCTTTGACAACAAGTCTTGCCTTGTATTTGTAAATAGTACCATCGTCTTTCATTTTCTTCTTGAAAATCCATTTAGAACCCAACGTTTTGTTACCTGGAGGAAGATCAACCAATTCCCAAGTATGGTTGCTCAATATGGATTCTATTTCACTATTGACAGCTTCTTTCCAATATTGTGCCTCTGAGGAAGACATTGCTTCCTTGAAGGTACGAGGCTCATTTTCTAACAGAAAAGTCAGAAAATCTGGACCGAATGAAGTAGATGTCCTTTGACGTTTACTTCTTCTCGAATTTTCTTCATTAGGCATATCATCTATTATTTTCTCCCGAGGTCGTTTTGACTTTTGGTAGGTCACTTCACTTTCCTTTTTATACGGATAAATAGTTTCAAAGAATTCAGCATTATCTGATTCTATTATCGTATTAACGTGAATCTCAGGATTTCCTGATTTATGAACCAGAAAACGATATGCCTTGCTATTGGTTACATATCCAATAAACACACAATCAACCGTTTTTGGACCTATCTTAACCCTTTAGGTTTAGGAACTTGTACCTTAGCTAAACACCCCCACACTTTGAAGTATTTCAAGCTAGGCTTCCTTCCTTTCCACTTCTCATAAGGAATGGATTGTGTTTTACTATGAGGTACACGGTTGATTATTCGGTTAGCTGTAAGTATAGCTTCCCCCCACAAGTTCTGTGGTAAGCCAGAACTTATCAGCAATGCATTCATCATCTCCTTCAACGTTCGATTCTTCCTCTCCGCAATTCCATTAGATTGTGGAGAGTAAGGGGCAGTTGTTTGGTGAATAATGCCATTTTCCAAACATATTTCTTCAAAAGGAGATTCATATTCGCCACCCCTATCACTTCTTATCATTTTGATCTTTTTGTTTAGTTGCGTTTCAACTTCACTCTTGTATTGCTTGAAAGCATCAATTGCCTCATCTTTACTATTAAGTAAATAAACATAGCAGTATCTCGTGCTATCGTCAATAAAAGTAATAAAATACTTTTTCCCACCGCGAGATGGTGTTGACTTCATGTCGCAAATATCTGTGTGAACTAAGTCTAAAGGACTTGAATTCCTTTCAACGGACTTATAAGGATGCTTAGCATACTTTGATTCCACACATATTTGACATTTAGAATTAATGCAATCAAATTTTGGCAATACTTCTAGATTTATCATCTTTCGCAATGTTTTGAAGTTTACGTGACCTAAACGCGAATGCCATAAAGTGTTTGACTCAAGCAAGTAAGAAGAAGCATTCACTTTATTGATAGGAACTGCTATTACATTTAGCTTAAAAAGGCCCTCATTTAGGTAACCTTTTCCTACATACAAATCGTTCTTACTTAGTACAACACTATTAGAAACAAAAATACATTTGTATTCTTGACAAGAAGTGACGTAGACACAAGATTCTTGCGAATTTCTGGAACATGGAGGACTTGGTTTAGAGTTACTATTTTTTCCGACGTCATCTTCAACGCAATCTTGCCTCCTTCAATTTTGGCCGTAGATGAATTTCCCATGAAGATTGTCTCGTCGGGACTTGCGGGGCATAAGAAGAAAATAACTCCTTGTTAGCACAAACATGGCGGGTGGCTCCATATCTATCCACCATTCTTTCGGATTTCCTACCAAGTTGCATTCAGACAACATGGCACACAAGTCTTCCATTTCATCTTCAACCATGTTGGCTTGATTCTTTTTCTTCTTATCATTCTTTGGCGCACGACAATCCACTGCCTTATGCCCAGTTTTTTCACAGTTGTGGCAATTACCCTTGAACTTCTTCTTGCTTGGGTAATTCTTTGGTCCAGAAGCTTTCTTCCTCTTCTTATTTTGTGGTGCCTCCTCAACAATGTTTGCCCCAATTATTGTCGAGTGTCCACGTGACTTCTTTTCAGCATTTTTGTTATCCTCTTCTATCCTCAAACGAACAATCAAGTCTTCTAGTGTCATTTCCTTCCGTTTGTGTTTAAGATAGTTCTTAAAATCCTTCCACAACGGAGGTAACTTCTCAATGAAAGCAGCGACTTGAAAGGCCTCATTTATGACCATACCTTCAGCAAGGAGGTCATGTACAATGACTTGTAGTTCTTGGACTTGAGTTATCACTGACCTAGTGTCAATCATCTTGAAATCCAAGAACCTTGCAGCCACAAACTTCTTAAGTCCGGCATCCTCAGTCTTGTACTTCTTCTCAAGCGCATTCCATAACGCTTTTGAAGTTTCCATGACACTATAGACATTGTACAAGCCATCTTCCAAACAACTCAAAATGTAATTTTTGCACAGGAAATCAGAATGTTTCCATGCTTCAGTTACAACAAGTCGTTCATCATCCGGAGTATTTTCAGCCATGACCGGAGGATCCTCCTTCATGAAACGTCGCAACTCAACGTAGTAAGATAAAAGAGCATCTTCATTTGCCAGCGTTTGAAGTCAATACCGGAAAACTTTCCGGGTTTTTCTGCCGGTGCCTAGCATGAGCAGGAGTAGAACGGCTTGACGAGGCAGCAACACTCGTAACAGTAGCACCCGTTCCGGCAACACTTCCATTAGTTTGGTTTTCATTCGTCATACTTCTGTAAAGTTGAAAACAATACAGAACTTTGTTAAATCAGTGAAGTTTTGATATCTTCAAACTGAATATCAAACCAAACATACAACACGTAACAATGGTGAAGTTTTTATATACTTCAAACCCGTACGTTTATTATTCCGGCAAAGTTTTTATGTACTTTAAACCGGACAGAAAGAATTATTGGAGTAGAAAGCAACAAGGCTTTAGTCTCCAAAACAGTATACAAAATATGAATAACAGTTTAGTATATGTTTCAACACAGAAACGTTAGTATTAAAATTCCTTAAGCTTGTGAGCGTTACTGTGTTAAACCAAAAATCAGGAAAAACTGTTAGAAAAATAAAAGAAACTGGAAAAACAGAAGAGTTTAAGAAATATTCCGAGTCCACAATTTTCTTGAGTGTCCTTAAGGAATTTTAACCCCCTCACACGTTGCCAAGGTAGTGGATTAAATCCTCCCAGGATAAAACGGAATAAACCTTCCTGCAACAGTGGCAATACAAACTGCAGGATACCAACGAACTCAAAGAACGGAGCAAAATCACACTTACGAATTTGAGAGAGAGAGACTGCAAATTAGGATGCAGTATATTCAGAAAGAAAGAAGTTCTGGAGTGTTTTTCGTGTGTAGAAAATGGAGCCTTGCCTCAGAATTTATAGGCAATTATCAGAAGATGTGTCTGGAAAAAGGTGCCTTTTCAGAAGAATACGCTGCCTGCCGCGGTTCTACCGCGGTCGCGGCAGAACCGCGGTCAGAGAGGCTTTCTGAACCTGCCTGCCGCGGTTCTACCGTGGTCGCGGCAGAACCGCGGCCAGAGAGGCCCTCTGAACCTTCAGCAAGGTTCTGGCGTATTTTCAGCAGCGATTTGGCATTTAATTAATTATTAAATAAATTTTGTCCAAAAATAATCTTATCGATCGATCATTTGACAAATCCAAATCCAAAGCCGAAGCCGAGCCGAGCGAGCGACGACGACGGCGCGAGGGTTAATTCTCTTCAACTCCTTTTAAGAGTTTTAAGAAGTGATTCTATATATAAGCACACAAATATGGTTGTCCCTCACCAATGAGAGACAAAGTGCAAGATAAAAGTTCACTTCTTTTAATTTTCGATTTCCCTCCATTTTATTTCCCTCCATTTCCAATTCACACTTCTTCTACTTTAAAGCCCAATGGCTTAAAGTCCAACATGGACGTCTTTGATTGGGTGGAGGACTCCGCAAGTGTGAATCCATATAGCAGCTCACCAAGAAGTCTCTAAGTCAAGCTAATATGCACCCTCATGCACCCGTGTCAGATCCTTTAGAAATGCGCCCGATTATATTTTTAGATAGTTCGCTGGATAGATGCAAATAAGTTCATATCTATTCTTAGGGGTGATACTATGGTTTTAAATGCTCAAACAGACCACTTAAACTCCCCCTACAAACCAATCAAATTTAGTCTAAATCTGCTGCGGAGTACCTCACCTCGAAACTGACTTTATGGTCGATGGTGTGAAAACACTCCCTAATGTCGAATTTCTAAAACCAGCAAGCGGTTCCCCACTCTTCTTTAATCTGTCTTAGGATGGAGCGTTAGCCTAGAAACAAGATAAGATCGATGATTCACATCCCACAACCACATGTGACTCAAAGCAGCGAAATGCACATTTCGTGAATATGATATTATTCACGTCTCAATAAGACAAATTACCTGCTATAAACGAACTAAAACATATTGATACTGCATGAATTTTTTACGCTATCAGTGTGAATAAGTTAAATTCCTGTTAAAGGCATGAATACCTGTTGCCTCTCTGATTGAACCAGGCTTCAGCACAATGGCGATGACAAATACCAAGCTCAGATTTACAGTCACAACCAAGCTCAATTATTTCCTTGGACTCTTCATTCAAATGACATATACGACATACTTTTTCCATTCCTTGATTTTCATCAATATCTATTACTACTTCTGTACCTTTCTCTATTTTTTCTCCTAATTCTTGTCTTTCTCCATTACTAGAAACCTTCTCTGAATTACCTCCACATTTAGTAGTATTCAAATTGCCATCATCTTCTCCTTGTTTTGTCTCATCTTCTTTAATTTCTTCCATCCCCTGCAACAATTTGCTACTATTATTTAGCGCACTATTCTAACTTTGAATCAAAAAAAAAGAAAGTTGAACCATATTATATTGATGAATTTGTACGAAATATTTGACATCACACTTTGAAAAAAAAAACATTTTTACATAATTTCTTAAGCCAAGGGTCTAGTGGAAACCGTCTCTTTGCCTTCTTAAATGTAGGGGTAAGGTCTGCGTACACGCTACCCTCCCCGGTCCTCACTTGTGGGATTACACTGGATTTGTTGTTGTTGTTGTACATAATTTCAATGTATTCCCAAAAAAGAAGAAGAGGAAACATTCCCTATCATTTCAATATTATCAACCCCAGCCCAAAGAGAATGTGAGTATACTTTGAATTTAACCATAATTTTAGAAGGCAGAGAGAATGTTAGTACACTTAGAATGGACAAAATCTAGTAGTAGTTCAATTTTAAGATTAATTTTATATAAATCAAAATTTACAACATAGTATATACTAAAAATCAGTTCCAAATCCAGCCACATGTGGAATAAGTAACAGATAATTCTTCTTCTCTTTTCTGTAATTCCAGAATTTCTAGCCAAGTTTTGCTACAGTTTAACACACGAGATCATATGAAAAGATAAAAAAAATATAATCTAATAGGACACCAAGTTAATCTGCTACTTCATATCGAAATATTTGCTTCAATTTAGATGTGGAAAACGGAACAACACAGTAGCTATATTGTGTTTTTATTTTTTTGTTACATGATCATCTTTCATGTAGTATAAAATCAGTATATACCTGCTGAATTAAGCTAGAAACCCAGAAAGAATCAAGTTTTTCCCTCTGCAATTTTGTGTTGTGTGACTCAAATTTGTATTGGCAAATACTATAATTCTAAGGACTGCTATTCTTTGTAGGAGGAACCCTATATATAGCGTTGTTTTTCCCTTATTAAATACCTTACCATACATCGCCCAAAAAAAAAAAAAAAAAAACCATACAACGAATTAGGTCTTACGGATATTTTATGGATTAATTAATTACAATAATTACGTTATACTTAATCTGTTAGAATTATATATATCTATATCTATATCTATCTATTTATCTATCTATTCTATATCTATCTATCTATCTATCTATCTATATTATTATAAAAGCATGAATACAATGTCGGATTACAAAAATAACCTTATAATATTAAGTATAATAACTCATAATAAAAGGACATAACCGGAATTCTAGATATTAGCTTTATAATCTTATTAGTTTTAGGACATAATACTACACTTTAAGAATCCTACATGACAAGGTTCCAATGCAATATTTACGAATATAATGTTGGTGAACCAAAATATCCTTAAGATATCTTGCGCTAATTAACTCTACGTTGGATAAAATGTCAAAAAGTTAAAATTTTAGAATTTAAAATTAACTGAGATATCAAGTCTAAAATAAAGTGTGGTTGAGGAATTATCGTTTGCACAGGAAATCGTTCTCAACTTGAATAGGAGTTCATATCATTATTTTTTATTCTTTTTCTATATTTTATAAAACACTATTCCCATAAACTCTTCGAAATACCCAGATGCCGAAAGCATATAGTTACTTTCGGGCAAGACATATAATATTATATGTTAGCNCGCTCTTCCGATCTTTACATTCCTATTAGTATAATTAGTATAATCCAATATAGTGTATATATATATATATATATATATATTATTTTCTTTAAATATACATATAGTATATTTGGCTAGCAAATATAATTATTTTTAATGGATTAGAGGTAGTTCGTAAGAATACATTATTATTTTCTTTAAAAAAATTCCTATGTCTGTATTTAATCTCTTGTTATGTGACCCAAATAATCGACTCAAATTTGTACGGATAAGAAGTTTTCTAAGAACTACAATTCTTTGGTGGAAGAAGCCAAATATATAAAGTTGTTTTTTCCTTGTCAAATGTTAAATACCATACAAAAAATGAATTAGGTCTTACATTTCTTTCCAACCAAGTAACTATTCAACTAAATATTTGTAATTGAACGAATTCAAATCCTTTAGAATTTTGCTTTAACTTTTTTAAGGTACCGAATACAAAATTTATTTGCAAGTTTACACAATAAGAACTTGTAAGCTTTATAAAATAATATCATCAATCTCTAGACATGAGTTCCACTTCTATCTATAAATTATTATTTCACATAATGTATACTGTCATCATCCATTTTATTAGGTTTGTTTATCCATAATGAACCTCAACCATTAATAAATTAAAACAATAAATAAATGAAATATTTGCCTAGCTATACTACAATAAAAAGTTATTTATCACTTTTATTTAAATTCATACTACATTACATTTTATATTATATTAACCATTTATGTTGTTGATACCCAATTTTCCCCCTCATATTTAAAAAAAATGCATATACACTTTCAATATAGTGCATATACACTTTCAATATAGTGCATGAACATCAACCAGTATTTTTCCATAATTTCCTGTAATTTTAAAAGGATTTTAATTACTTTATTCTAGCATTTTATTATCTAAATAATTACTAATTGCATCACAAACAATTTATTGATAATTTTTATCATTTATATTTATATTGAGTTTTAATCATTTTATGCATAATTTTATTTGTATCTTTAGGCTAGAATTGCACATTTTGCAATAATAGCCCATATGTATGCACAATTATATTATTTACACGGAAAATGACTTTTTATATTTTTATAATATTAAGTAATTATTTTATATTATTTTCATATACAAATAACATCTTTATCATTTATTAATTATTTTTATATATTATTTTATTAATTTAAATGGGTATTTAAAACATATCCCTTTTTTTAATTAACTAATTTCGGACCTAGCCCAATACCAGCCAGCCCAATAACCTGACCCAATTACCCTACCCGTCTAATTAAACTCGCCCCAGCCTAAAACTGACCCTGGCTATTGATCTCAGAAGATCAACGGTCCAGGATCCACTTTCCTTTTTTATTACACCAAACCCCCCAAACCCTACTTCATTTTCCCAATTCCGCCGCCCTTGAAACCCCTTCCCTCCTCTCGTCTCTCTTACCTTCCTTCTAACCCTAGCTCGCTGTCACTAAAACCCCTTTGATTCATGGGTTCTTTCTTCAACCTCAAGCCTTATCCGGCCTCATATCTCCACTAGTTGTTCGATTTTCATGATACTTGATGGAATCTCAAAAAGAATCGAACCAGATTTTGTTCAAACCTCCTATTTTCTCTGTTAATCCGTCTGTGTTCGCTCATGCGTCTGTGAGTACTGATATCTTCGTGTTTATGGCTTCAAACCTCTGGTTCAAACTGGACTTTTTCACCTCTGTTTATTTTTTTACATAATCTAACCATTTCTGGCTAAATCGGGTTAGATCCCTTTAGATCTGAAGCGGTTTGAGTTTGTTTGTTACTTTTCCTTTAAGATTCTTCTGTTTTTCCTACTATTGTCAACCGATTTCATTTTCTTAAAAGCTAGGGTTTTGGTTCTAAGAGATTTCTGCAGAAACGTTTTAAAATGTTTAAGTGTTTAACTCCGTTTTTTTTCCTTTACTTTTTCGACTGATTTTCATCTCTATGTCTTTATTGCCTAGGGTTTTCAATTGTTCTACTGTTTGCTATAATGTTTGCCCGTTTACTTTGGTTGTCAATTAAAGTGATTAATTGATTTACTTGCCTAATTAGGGTTAGAAATTGTGCTTTCCTTTTTAAAACTGATATTTCCTTGTCAAATTTTTACCTATTCTTTCCTCATGTGTGATTTATAATTGGTACTACTTTCCTTAATTCTTTTGCTAACCTGATTTTGTGTACTTTAATTATTAGAACCGACTTTTAGTTGATCTCTGGACTTACTACTTACCTTATTTAGACCTCAATCTTGACTGCTGATTTATTCCGTGCTAATTTAAGTGATACTTCCGTGATTCTGTCTATTAATTGATTCTTGTTAGCCCTAATTGACTGATTAACTGATCTCTTTGCCTTATTTGGGTGCCATTTATTCTCCTACCTTATTTGGTTTTACTCTACTGTATGCTATAAAAACCTTTCATTACTCTGATTTTAACACACGCTCACGCTTACTGACTCACACTCACACTTACACACTCTTACAGTTTTTTTACTTTACAACTCAAAAGCTTCCTCCTTTTCCTCAAAGAATTTAAGTCCTCTCTTTGTGCGACTACTCTGATTTCTGCACTATTTAGCCGGCTGAAAGCCAAGGCTAAACTCTTTGGATCCAAATTACCATTACACTCCTGTTTACTTTCTTCCTAACCGGTATGTGTTAATTCCTGTTGTCCTATTCTGTTCCCTGTGCTTATGTGGTTATTTTATTTCAAACCACAGCATGTTTCTGTGTGATCTATGATTCCTATTTACTCCTTTCTCAACTGGCATGTTTCAGTTCCTGTTATCTTATTCTGTCTTATAATTTATTTCGACCTCAACATGTTTTTCTGTTACTGCTTTCTCAACTAGCATGCTTTAGTCTCTGTTACCCTATTCAATCCTATTTCAGCATGCTTCTGTTTGCTATATATGATTTCACCTAGTGATAAGGTTAACTAAGTTATCTCTAGTAATATGAAACCTTGTATAAACGATTGTATGTTCCCTGTTCTGCAAACATGTAATATGCTGCCAACTCTGTCTATTAGTTCAAGTATCCTGGCTCTTTTGTGATTGCTTAAATGCTAGTACAGTATCCATGTCTGAATCAACACCAATCTATTTGAACTATTTACTAAATAGGAATTCTGTTTGTTCCAGGTGAAATTTTGTTTGCAGTCATGTAATTTGAATCTGTTTGCTCCTAAAAATCAAACTATTTTCTAAAACTATCCCCCTACCCCCTTATGTACTGGTTTTCAAACTTCAATTCTTAGTTACCTAGGTTCCTACCACCCTCAGTGTGAGCACTTTCTAGGGTCCCTGAGACTCCTTTGAACTCTGACACATTGGGGTTGGTTTTCCAGTCTCATATGAATTCTGTGTTGAATGTGTGGTTCTAGTGTGAGCATTGCGCGGGGTCCCTGAGGCTCTTTGGGAACTTTGACACACTGGAAGCCTGGTTTAAGGTATTGTGGATCGCTGCTAGTGTTTCAAAGCTGTTGTGTTTGAAGTCCTGGCTCCCAGGTTTATATTGGGCATGCTAAGGCTCCATATAGTGTAATAGACATTGTTATGTAATTTATTCATCCCGGGCTGTAATAATCTTGTAATAAACAGATCTGGGGTTTATTAGTAAAAGCTGGGGGGGGGGGGGTTTCTCTATATCTTTGTTTGAAACTCGGGTAGAAATCCTGCCTATAGGTTTATTGGTAATTATGTGAATGTTACCACTTGTTTAGAGATCATGCCTATAGGATTTTCTGATTGTTTTTGTTCTGTATTTCACTCGCATGCTAGAAATCCTGTTTATAGGCCCCTAGCATTTGAAATTCTATACATATGATCCATGCACGTTTTTAACTTACGTGCATTAGTGACCATGCCTATAGGATTCTATCTGTTTGAATAATAACCTTTCCTGCAATGTGCTTAAATTTTTTGTCCATATGTGATTGATAGATATCATGCCTATAGGAGGTAAAAAATAAAATCAGTTTCAACTTATATGCCATGCCTATAGGAAATAAACAGATCAGTTTCGACACCTAGAAATCATGTCTATAGGAGTTAATTAATTCTGCAAATTAGAAAGCATGCCTATAGGATCTAAAGAGATAAAATCTGTTTTCATGGGTTAAAAATCAATAATTCGCTTAGAAATCATGTTATGGGTCTTTAATCAACCTTTAGATATCATGCCTATAGGATTATGTTTT